CAGGAAGATTTGAAACCCCAAATCCGGGCACGGTTGAACCACGGTTTGTGACGAGTGTACGAGGCTACGAGCCCATGCCTATAGAATGCATTTCCATCGACAAGCACCGAACCAGACTTCTGTCCAGGGAGAATTAGTGCTCGACCTTTGCCGCTTCGGGTCCTGTTAATTCCCCGGCGAATCTCAAAATTACGGAATGTAAAAACAGAATAACTGCACCCCTTAATTAGCTACCACGATGGACGAATCTTCAGTGCTCATCACATGTGCACCCACCTCGAGCCCCTCGCACAGTCAGTCTGCGACAAGCTGCGCCGAACGCCGGCCCGAGACCTCCATCAGTTCGCAACCCCTTGGAACTCAAGTCCCGACACTTTACTGATCCCCGCTTCTCTTCCCCGGATTTCCCACCACATGGCATAAACCGGTACTTTAGGAGCTCCTCTCGCGCCGTGGTCGCTTAAGTCGATCCTTTATGTCGTTGCCTTCGCCAAGGTCTTCGCATAGGTAGGAGCCAGACAACGTTATCATGGCAAGCACCGATACGATAAGTTTCCTATCTTCTACTAGGGCCAACGTCGGCATCTGGGTCTTGATCAGCACATCGGCCGTCTTCCTCTTACTCCGCCTGTGGTTGCGGCATCGCTCCGCGAAGTTGTGGTGGGATGACATGTTGCTGAGCGTCTCATGGGTATGTATTATGAGTGTAACGGCTGGCCGAGTCCAAGACTATCCCATTTGCTAATCATGATGGGTACAGGTGCTCATGCTTGTCGCCGGCGCGCTCATAAGCCGCATCATAACCGTCGGCGTCGAAACAGACAACGACAAGCGGGTGTTCTTCCGCTTCCAAAATGCATCAGTCATCTTGACGACGCTGGCCACGAATTGGGCCAAGATCGCCTTCGCCATCACCCTGATCCGCATCGCTCGACACAAGGCTCAGCTCTGCTTCCTCTGGTTCATCATCGTGACAGCGAACCTCATCCTCATCCCGGGGGCCGTCTCCTCCTTGGTCCCAGCCTGCAGTGACCCGCGGGCGAAATTTCGCCCTGTCGACACCATGTGTTTGGAACTTTCTGTCATTCAATACCTGGGTGGTGCAACCATGGGTGAGTAGACCTGTCTCTTGCAACAACAGTGTCCAGAAACGACGTAACTAACCACCTGTCTGGTGGACGCAGCATACGGCGGTGTCATCGACATCTTGCTGGCCTTGCTTCCCATGTTTATTGTGCGAAACCTAAAGCTCGAGACAAAGGAAAAGATTGGCCTGACGGTAGCCATGGGTCTCGGCGCCTTGACGGGCGCCACGACGGTCCTACGGACGTTCCTGCAACTCGTGCAAGGGGACTACAACTATGGTACGTCCCCCCCTACCTACATGTTATTTACAACCCTTGGTACCAACAAACAGGTAGATTTCATGGTCTACGTGTCCATCTTTAGCTTTCTCGAGCCGTCTGTCACCATAGTCGCCCAGGCCATCCCCATATTCCGCGTGCTTGTCGTACGTGCGGCCAAAAACGGCAGGTTACTCAAGCTCTCGTCCAACAAGCTGTCTTCATCATCCCCGTCGAGCACGCCACCGGCGCAGGCCTCGTGCGATGCGTCCGTTGCCACCAAGTCGCCCTCGCGCTTGGAGTTGGAGACCCGGGTTTGGGACGGCACTCACAAGTTTGGCGACGACCGGCGATTCTATGACTTGAGAATCTTAAGACCTTGAACATCTAGGTACCTCGCTTGTCATATTCAACCACCTTGCGGGAACTGCGGCTCTTCCTTTTCCACAACTTCTGTATTTTTTTCTGTACAATTAAACAACATTATCAAGGCCTAGGAACGTGCACACAGTGATGAAAGTACATAGCGGTCGCCTCCTAGGGGTCATGGACCGCGAGCTGATCCAGGGGCAGGAGCATCGTGTTTGGGTCGCTGAGGGGGTGGTTTGTCGTGCGCCGTGTATGGTCTCCGGGGGGGGCGGGGAGTGTGTTGGGTATTCGTAAAGCTTTGTGGGCACCTTAGGTCTAGTTTAAGGCTTTTAGCTAGGACCGCGGCTACATCTGTGGCAGAAAGACGTCCTGCTTCCATACCCGGTTACAGTCCGAGCAAGCCAGCTCCGTATAGTTAATCATCCGGAACCTGCCGAAGGCCAACCTCGCACTGCAGGCTCACTGAAATGCCAAGCGGCGCAGCCGGTCATCGTGTCGATCGACGTCCTTTCAGACCCCAACATGCACGCACTGCCACCGTCTTCAGCGCAGCACCTGCACCCCCCTGTTTAAGAATGCGTGCTGCCACGTCACTGAATACGCGACAGTCCGACCGACGAATTAAATATGCACTGCTCCCAACCGAGCTTCTCCTGCTTACTGGCTCGGGACCTTTGGTTGTCTATTTATCAGAGCTGGGCCATTCCAACTTGACCAGCACCAGTCTTGGCCTACTTACCAGGTAACCAACGCTCAGGCTCAAGAAATCTACCTCCAGAATGAATCTTTATACGGAGTTGCCTGAGAATCTCAGCGAGGTCGATGTGATCATCGCAGGGGGTAAGGCCAAGCCCGTTCACACTGTTTCATGAACAAACAAGACCAACTTACTTGGCTATGTCAGGTGGAACGGCAGGCTGTATTGTTGCCGCAAGAATCGCCGATGCAGACCCTGACCTCTCCGTCTTGGTCATTGAGGGTGGCAGCAACAATGACTCCCCCACTATCAGGTTCCCGGCACTGTTCCTGTCAAACCTGATGCCCGGCAGCAAGTCCAGCATATTCTACCAGGCAAACCAGGAAAAGCAGCTGGGTGACCGGCAACTCACCGTTCCGTCCGGCGGTGTTCTCGGCGGCGGGTCGTCCATAAACTTGATGATGTACAGCCGCGCTCAGCGATCCGACTTTGACTCGTGGAAGGTGCCTGGATGGTCTGCTGATGAGATGCTGCCGTACCTGAAGAAGGTCCGTTATTGTTCTACCGTCATCTAGACAGCCAGACCTGGTGACTAATACTTGATCAACAATAAGCTCGAGACTTATCACGGACCCGATCCAAACAACACGCACGGCCACGACGGCCCCATCCAGGTGTCGACCGGCACGTACTGCGCGACTCGACTACAGAATGAGTTTATTTCCGCGGTCGAGCACCTCGGCTGGCAGGAGATCCAAGACCTGCAGAACCTCGAATCCTGCAACGGGGCGCAGCGTGCGCTGCGCTACGTCTCCCCCGACGGCGCGCGCCAGGACACAGCCTCGCGGTACCTCCATCCCCGACTCCAGGCGGGCAACCGTCCTAATCTCCACGTCGTGGTCCAGAGTCAGGTGATACGAGTCCTAGTCGACGGCGGCAGGGCCGTGGGAGTCGAGTTCAGGCGCAACCCGCTCTTTCAGCAGGACGCTGTCGATGCGGGGCCGTCCGCGGTTCGCACCGTCAAGGCGAGGAAGATGGTCGTCGTCTCATGCGGGGCCCTCGGGACTCCCGCTGTGCTGGAGAGATCCGGCTTGGGAGATCCTTCCGTCCTCGAGCGGGCGGGCGTCCCGCTGGTCGCTGCCCTGCCTGGGGTTGGCCGTGAATACGAGGACCACCAGCTGACTCTCCATCTTTATCGGTCTAGTTTGGAGCCCGGAGAGACGCTGGATGGCATGGTATTCGGCAGTTTGGATCCCGCAGTTTTGATCCAGAACAACGACAAGATCCTTGGATGGAACGTTATGGATGTCACCTGCAAGCTCCGGCCCAACAAGACCGACGTTGCTGCTCTTGGTGCGGCATTCCAGGAGGCTTGGGACCGGGATTTCGAAAAGGTCCCGGATAGGCCATTGGGAATGATGGCGTGTGTCGCTGCGTAAGCTGAGACCGATTCACAGGGGGTTTCAAAGGAGGTATGGCAACAATCGACTGACTGACCTACCCCCAGATTTCCAGGAGACCCGTCCAGCGTCCCAGCCGGCCAATACTTTGCCATCTCGACCTTCACCCTGTACCCCTATTCCCGGGGGCACATCCACATTACCGGCCCTGACCCGAGCGACCGTCTCGACTTTGAGACGGGCTTCCTGTCGGATCCGCACAACCTCGACATCAAGAAAAACATGTGGCTGTACAAGACCCAGCGCGAACTCGTACGCCGCATGGAAATTTACAGAGGCGAGGTCTCGGGCGGCCACCCTCCGTTTCCCACGGGGTCAAAAGCGGCCTGCGTCGAGCTCGACGCTCCCCTCACCGGCGTGCTATCCAACATTGAGTACTCTGCCGAGGACGATGCCATTCTTGAACAGTGGGTGCGTGCCAATGTCAACACCACCTGGCACTCTCTCGGCACCTGCAAGATGGCGCCGCGCGAGGCGGGCGGTGTGGTGGACGGGCGGCTCAATGTTTACGGTGTGAAAGGGCTCAAGATTGCCGACCTGAGCATCCCGCCGCGGAACGTTGCTGCAAACACTAACAACACGGCCATGGCAATTGGCGAGAAGGCAGCTGATATTATTATCGAGGAGCTGGGACTCGGCAAACAATTGGAAGACTAAAAGTGGAGAGCGAGCTGATGAAAGTTTGAGCGCTTAGGAGTAAAGTTATCGATAGGGAGGCTTTATCGGGTTCTATAGTTTGGGTAACAGCTTCAGTTGCCAATCTTCATTATAAGGCTCGGAGCCAAGTCAATGAAAATGGTCAATGTCTGCGCCAGTTATTTACCCCTGACAAGGAGCCTGGAGTGAGAAAAAACCTGGAATTAGCACTTTGGTTTTATAGAGATACCCAACGTGGTAAGCACACCATATTGTTCCCAGTACGTCCGGTTCCATGTACCGTTTAATCAGCAAAGAGAGATTTAGGAGTTTAGGATGTCTGTTCTAACTTATCATCGGTTGAACAAACATCAACCCCCGAACCGTCAGCAACAAAACGGCACCAGTGCCTTTTAGACCATTGGTGAAATAATGTTTCTAATACTGGTCTTTCCCTATGAACTGGGTCACGGCCATCTCTCGTCAAATTCATCAGCCCGATTAGCTCAGCTGGTTAGAGCGTCGTACTAATACTGGGATACCTGTATGTGGTAATGCGAAGGTCAACAGTTCAATCCTGTTATTGGGCATCTGTTTTGTTTTTGGCTCTTCAGCTCCATCCACATTTGAGTCTTGACTCACGAACTAGGTTCACTCAGCTTGTGCCTCTGTTTCTCTCCCCAGCAGATAACAAGCTGCTTCCCATCCAGCCTCCTACTGTGCTTAGTTGTTAACAACAGCCACACATGGCAGTTCCCGTTGCTCGTTCTTTCGACCCTTATGAAGATGGCTGGCGGGGGCTGGAACCACCCACTCGCACTCTTCCCGGAACCATTGGATCGCCTTCTTGCGCATCATTTTGACAACACTCTTCTCCTCGTTGAGGAAACGGTCCATCCAGTTCTCTGTCAGTAAGACGTCTCTTTAGTGAAAAACGTTGAGGGGTAGTCCCCAAAGAAGGGAGTCGGCAAGCTCACCTATGTCCCGACCCGCCTCCTACCCGCCGGGCGGCCTTTCACTCAAAACGACCGGCTCATACAGAAGGGTGAATCCGATCCAGGAGCAACCCGAGGCGCTACCACATCGACGGTAACATCCCGCCTCGCAAAATCAACCAGCATCTTTTCAATCCAGCGCCGGGCTGTCTGAATCCTTGGGCCACGTTCCGCCTGTCCACGCCGCAACAAGCCGCACCGCTCTCAGCTCCGGAAGCCTTCCCCCTAAAACCCAGCAACTCAACAAACAATACCACAAAGGCAGACTCTGCAGCGCAAACTCCTCCGGAAACTCCAGCACCAACTCCCGGGCGCGGCAAAACCCCACAGACCGTACAAACACCCTCCGCAGAACCGCTCCCTCACATCACAAACAACCCGCACGCCCCTCACCCTCTCGAGCAACCCAAAGACCGCAGGCGACCCATGCACCTGCATCCCCGGCCCCAACGCCACTCGAACCGCGACCGTATCATAAAACACCTCCGCCACCCTCCCATACACAACCCGACACGTCCCCATCAGCGCCAAAACAGCCCCCAAAGTCTTCACCTCCCCGTCCCTCCTCTTCTCATCCAGGTACGCCCACTCCTGACACTTGCCCGCGCAATACGTACACTCCGACACATGTGCCCACGCCTCGGGGCGGATCCCATCCGGCGTGAGTATGCGGGCGCGGCGGACGACGCGGCATGCCGACGTGTCGGCTGCGCTGTTGCGGTCATACATGCTGCCGGAGGAGGACGGGCGCAGGCAGAGGCATGCCGCCGCCGCGCCGCCGCAGGAGGAGCCTGCGGTGATGTGGGGGTGGCGGGGGAGGATTACGGTGCTGCCCGTGGGGATGAGATGCGCGTAGATTTCGAGGCGGATTTCCGGGGGAGGGATAGGAATCCCAGACGGGGGGAGGTAGTTTGAGTGGGGGGTGTCGACGTGGCGTACGGGGTTGGTTGTTGAGGGGCGTTTGGGGACCGCGTGTTCTAGTAGGCCTGGAGGCGCTTCGGCTAGATGTTCGAATAAAGGGAGTCGTTTGAACGGGCGGGCGATGCGGAGACAACCGTCCTTGAGGCAGACGTTCAGCTGGGAGCTACGGTGTCAGGACCGAGGGATCTAGATTGACTCTCTCTCGTTGTTGCCGGATCGGTGGGATTCTTTTTTTTCAGGAAGGGAAAGTTAGCTGGAGCAGGGAGCGGAAGGGGATTTGAATCTCCAGGGAGCGGACTGGGACACAAGCGACCCCGTGGGCAGGCGCAGGCTCTGTTGTTTATTTGGGGCTCAAACCTCTAGTTCACCTATGACGGCGCGTCGGCAAAGGGCAAATCGTCACTCGCATATGGAACGCCTGCGCTTATGTAGGGAAAGGTCATGGCATGTCAGTGCCGCTGACGCCAAGCATGCTGAGCTGAAACAAGTACAGAACATTGGGGCACCCTGACTGATACTTACGGTCTTCCCAGTCTGGAGAATGGTATTTACAAAGAGGTTCTGTCACACAGTTAATTATGTTTACTTCTGAGGCGCTATGGACCTAATTACCATCGTATCAACCCCCCATCCACCGCCTCTTCAACTTCTTTTATGTAGTCTACCTTACGCATCTTCGCTATCGTCCATCCCACTCCACGCTAGACCTTCACATGCCACCCCGCCCCCGTCATATCCGCCTCGCGCATTAGCCTCTTCACCTTTACTGCCCTCGCGGCAGCCATCAACACCATCCCCAGCACCAGCGAGGCGCCTGCAAATGCCTGAGCGCCGTAATAGCTCCCTCCCGAAGCCGTGATGATGGCGCCGGCAATCGGCGGCCCCGCCAGCGTTGCAAAACTGACAATGGTAAAGATCATGCCCATCCTGACACCGGCCTTCCGCATGTCGGTCGTCAGGCTGCTCAGGCCGGCAGGGAACAAACTCTGGATACCGCCCGCCACCATGCCATAAAAGGAACACCACACATACAATCCCGCCGTGGATGTGACGGCCATCCAGCAGAAGACGCAAATCCCGGCAATGGCGCATGTCGGGATAAGCATATTGATCGTCCCAACCCGGTCAGCAAGGTGGTTCGGTATTAACCGACCCGGAATACCGACACCGTTCAGGACCAGCAGCAGGTTCAAGCTGCTGGTGTAATCCATGCCAATGATCTCCCTGCTGAACGAGGCAACGTAGTAAAACGCAAAGTACAGCCCGAGGAAGAACTATCCCGCCATGTCAGTCAAACCCAGCCCCTATTCACACCCCTACGGGAATCACCTAAGGACCAGCTGTAACTCACCGAAAAGCTCCCCGCCGCATAAAGCGTATACTCCCCCTCCCGAAACGCGCTCCATTCCACCAACGGCCCGCTTCGCCTCGCCGGAATCCTCTGCTTCAGCCCAACCAGCGCCACAACAAACGTCGCCACCTGCACATACCCAATAGCCCTCATCGCGGCGGGAAACCCCTGCGTGGGCAACAACTGCCTCACCAGGCTCGGAAACACCAACCCCCCCGTCGCACTCCCACACGCAGCCATCCCAATCGCCAGACTCCTCCTCCTATCAAAATACGTCGACAGCGTCGATATACACGGACAAAACAGACACCCATTCCCCAAACCCATACAGATGCCCTGCGCGAGCACGACCTGCCAGTACTGCGTCGCGGCGGACGCGGCAAAGATGCCGAGGATCTGGAACGCCGCGCCGAGCGCAAAGACATGCCGGAAGTAGCCGGCGTCGGTGAGGCGGCCGGTCAGGGCGCCGACGAAAAACAGCAAAAAGATCTGCAGCGAGCCGATCCACGAGATGTCCGAGGGCGAGCGGCCGAGCGCCGCGGTGTAGTGCGTCTGGAAGAGGCCAAAGGAGTTGACGACGCCCCAGGTGTTCATGACGACGAGGTGGGTGCAGGCGACTGGGGGATGTTAGCATCTAACCCTTGAATGGGGGGTAGGGGAAGAGGGGAACAGACCGGCTATCCAGGCTTGCAAACCCCCGTCAGGAGGCGGCCCTGGGTTCCAGCTGGACTTGGTGCTCACTCTGGTGACGACGCGGGACAAGGTCCGAGAGATGACACCGTTGCCGCCGTCCTCTTCGCGTGTCTGTTGCCTTGAGACCGGCGGCTGATCCCCACCCGCGGCCTCCTCATCGCTGGTATCACCCAACACCCGCCCATTATCCTCCCCGCTCCGTTTCTCGGGATCCACTCCCGCCGCCGACAACGACAACGAGTCCGTGTCCCGGCCGGGCTGCGAGGGCCCCTTCTCCGCGTCGCCGGGTGACAGTGGCTCGGGGTTCCCCATGTTGCTGTTACCCGGTTTCTGCTGTGCCTCCGGAGGGTAAACAATGCCCTGAATGGTGAGTCACCAGCCCACGACAGGAATGGTAACTTGGTCTGGTGCAAATCTTGTGGTGGTGAATCTTGTTCTCAATGTCGTCGTCAGCTGTCTCAGACGCTCTGTACCCCAATCGAGGCAGATAACCAATGCGTTTTATGTAAAACCAAAGGTGGTGTTGTAAACATGAACGAGATCAGTAATCCCATACAGAAACCAGATATGCAGGGCAAGTTTTGTAATCCGTATAAATGATTCACCGCCAAATAGGGAAGACGGGGCCAAGACGTTTGCTGAACAAATTCGCGTCTCGGCATTCGGGGAATGCGGAGGTTGGGCCGAGGACTGCTACTGAACTCAGCAACCGAACCAAGATTGTACAGTCATTGATGGACCGAAAAGATGCAGAAAACTTTGAAGAGAAGGTGACTGCCATTGTGGACCCGGCCCAAGGACAGGGTTCGGGGAATAGTGTCGTTGAGTCAACCCCCGGATCCGCTTCCCGTGCCCGCCATTCTCTCCCTAGCCGACGCTCCTGCGTCGCCGGCCTGCAGATTTGGGTTGGCTTCCATCCGCCCCAGTGCCGGCCATTGTTCGGCTGCAGCCAAGTGGGCGAGCATGTCAATTTCACGCCCTTGGAGAATTCCGCTGATATCATGTGACAGTGACAAACGATAAGCAGGCAAAGCCGAAACGGAACGATCCGGCACTCTTATTCCCGCCAGAATAGTCCACACTCGCGCGGTTGGCTCCGGCCAGTGCTCCGGCCGCTTTAAGCAGGCTGGGTGAGCCGCGGGCGGGCGGCAAGGCATTCCGTCCAATCAACTCGAGCCCGACAAGGCAACAAATTTCACGAAAAATAAAATAAATAACTGGAAAGAAAAAAGAAAAAAAAAAAAAGGGCCGAAAAAACCCAAAAAAAAAAAAAAA